TTCGGATTTCCGCACCCTCCCGTCAGCAGAAATCCGTTTTAGTTTAAATCTTGTTTCTTCCTTTCCATGCCTGTCTTCTTTTTCCGCTGGCCTTCAGACTTTTTTTTTTTGGCTTACTATTGAACTGTCGACGTTCGCTGGTTGTTTTTGGATACTCGGGTTTCCTTGCCCACTGATTCGCTTTGCTTCCGTAGCCGTGTTCTTGACTTTGCTGTGGTCTTGGCGCATCAAATTGGCTTCGTTGCTCATAGTAGCGTCTTCTTTCAATGTCCGCCGTTCTTCTACTTTCAAACTGGATTGCTTGCTCAAATAACTTTTCCAGTGTAGTCGGATTCCTTAATTCAATAAAGTCTTGTACTTGGGGAAGTAATCTCGGCAAAATCACTTGAATTATCTCAGGATCCGGACGGTTTCCATACAAGAGTTTAAGACGTGAATTTTTCTTAAAATAAAGGTGGAAAGATTTTCGATTCGTTGCTGATATATGCTGAAAAGTTCCGTTTCTAATCTTGCACGATCTCTTACGACAGGGAAGGCTTTTACTAAGGCGGTCTTAAAATTTTCGTAAGTATGGGTGGGACTTCCCGCTTGACCCAAGAGGCTTCTGCCTATACATTTGAACCAATTAAGCGCTTGGCCCCTCAAAGCGCTGGTAGCTAAGGTGACTTTCTGGAACTCATGCACTGGATACAGCATGAAGTGGTCATCCAATTTTTCCAAAAAACTGATTACCGGTGAGTTTCAATTAAATGTTGCTTCTGGTTTCATCGATGCGCGCATGGTCTGGACGATGTAACCAAATCCTTCCAGGGCGGCAGCTGGCATTTCTGGATTCTGAGCCGCTTCTGCAGGCAGCACAGGTTCTTCTTGAAACTCGGCCATGGTTATTCTTCTTCGTCGGGCGCCACTATCAGGTTCTGTGTTCCTCCTTACTTGCTTTGGGAACATTAAATGTCCTGACTCGGAACAGGGAGCTTACTAAAGCTATGTTCAATAAATTTGGGAAGTAGACAATACACACAGGAAGGGTATACGAAACCCTTTATTTTTCTCTCTTTACAATGATTTCCGGACTTCGGAATACAGAGACCAACCACTTGTGGTCTGAACGTAAGAATATAAAAATATTAACTAAACTCTAACTAAACTTAACTTTGGATTAATCAAACAAGTGCCTACTCCAAGATTGGTCGTATATTAGCAAAAAGCCGTATGTAGTACAGGGAACTGCTAACACTACGATACGTTTAAAATTATCAAGAGGATTAAAACTCTGGCCTTGAAGACAACCAGCCACCGAGTAAACCTACTATGGCCAGCGGCCTGCTTCTAATAGCTCCTTCCTCTCTCTTGCTTGGCAAAAAGCCACAACTTAAGTACTTGGCGTTCGCAAGACAAATTTGCATAAATAAGTTAAAGCTTTTAATTCTGGCCGGAAGTAGAAAATAAGAAGTGATAGTAAAGATTTAAAATAAAATAAACGTTAGTTATACTTAAGATCCTTACAATTGTTGCAGCTTTCAGTGCTCGTTGATAACCGGCCACCATAGAATATTAGAGGCGCTTCAAAGGCCAATTGAAATAAAGTCTACGTAGAGGTTAGCATCTCTGTTGTCTTGAATTTGTTCCCTTGTAACATCAACAGCATGAATCGTCTAAAAGCCAGTTCGGAAGCTACATTGTTTTGGGCTGATGATATGTTTACTACAGACTTGATATTTTAACCTGCTGATTTCTATTTCCGCATATATTTTGCTAAACGCTGGAAGAAGACAAGCAGGACATAGAGAGCGAAGAGGTCTCGTGGATCTTTATATGTTCTTTTTTTACCAAAGAAAACTACTTATCCAAGTCTGAACGTTTTGGGAACATACTGATTTTTCAGTAGTTGATTATAATAAGCATAGAAGAAAGCAGTACATGCTCTAGAGGCTATTTTGAGAACTGTATAATCAGATCCATACGGTCCCGGAGCATGTTTCTTCGGGAAGACACGGAATATTTGTTTAATATCTTTGGTTGAAATCGAAATATCATTGCTGGTTGTAGATACGGTTGAGGCTTCTCTGATATGTTTTTTGTTGGAGTATCTTCATTTCGATCATCTTATGGAAATACAGTATTCAAGTGAATATTTACATTATTAGAAGCATAGTTATAAATGCTATCAGAGCCTCTCTATTTATTCTATAGTATTTCTGCATGTGCTAAAAGACTTTATTTATCATAAATTTGTGAAGAATACAATAGTGATTAGAACTGTTGTTATAGAAATTTCACCCACTAATTGTTTTTGCAATATGTTACCACGTTTAAACTGCACTCTCTCTTTCCTATATGCGTTAAGCAGCTGATGTTTGTAATTGTCTTCTGTGGCTTCTTCGTAGCGCTCTGCTCTTTTGGCTTTGTTGGAAGAGCTCTTTTTTCCACCATGTGACACCTTGTAGATTTTTCGCTGTGCGAGTTGAGAGGATTTCGCAGATGAATTGTATGGTCTTCATGAGTTTATATGTGAAGGTACCTAGGGCATCTGTGTTGTTGCAGATATTTAGTTTGACTTCCTCATTAGTGAGGGAGAGTGTAGACAATCTTGTAAGTGATTTGAGTTTGTTGTCAGGAAATTCATAGTGTCGGAGGATCTTGTTGGTGTGCTAAGGTAGATATTGAAATGAATGTATTTGTGATCCAAAGCACTTAATCAGGTTAAGAAAGGTTAGGTGATCTGGAGGCGCTGTACTTGGCATTGTGCGAGTCTGGACTGAAGGTATAATATATTTCAATTTTGTAGTGTTGCTGCGTAGATCCAAGTTCTTGGCATTCAAAACAGCTTTTTTTGGTGCTGTAGAATTTTTTAATTCTATGCGCTTGTCAGTCGATGTAGAGGCCCGGCGACTGTATAAAATTCCCCGCGCCTGCATAAGATAAGATGCCTTCCTAAGGTAAGACAGCTGGTTGACATTCTGAAATCTATTCGACAATTTTCTGTTTTTTAACCTGTACAGCACTTGATATACTTGTGGTCCGAGACGGACGGGATATCTTAAACGGTTCAGTTGCGAATCTTTGAGTCCAAAGATGCAAAAGAGAGCGTGAGGTCTGACCACTCCTTCCCATTAATGGTCTCATATGCCGACCGGTTGTTCGGGATATTGTGGAGCGTGAAGTTGCATTAGTATTTAGAATTTGTGTCTGAATTCGCATTTAATATCCGCGTAGTAAATAATAGTATCTGTTTGTGTATCTGTATCAGTATTTAGTATCTTGGATTTATGTAACGACTTGCATTAGTATTTAGTACCTGTTTCAGTATTCATAATTATATGCAAAATTTCATTTACTTAGTATCTATATTTTAGTTATTTAGTAACTGTGTAGTGATGTGTAAAATGTATTGTTTAATGTCTTAATCAGCATATGTAGCATCTTAGTAAACACGTTGCGGGGCACCGGGTGTGTTGTACTAAACAATACCCAATTAGTCTACGTAAGCCGCCCGGGTGTCCGGACCCGCTTTCACCTGTCACGTGTACGGCACTTGATATCTTGGTTACGTTATGTTCTGTTGCTATGGCGTTTTCAATTTCTTGGTGTTGTGGTGTTAGTGGAATGTTTTGAATTGTTATTCTTTGGAGTCTGCTGGCATCTTGATGTTAATCAGCTTGCTGCGCTTTTCACTCTTAAGAGGAATGAATACAATAAGGTAAGAACAACGTAATTCTCAAAAGGAATGACAAAACGAATGTTTAATTATTTAGTTGAATCAGGTACTTTCATTTTACTAGTTACACCTACATGTGAGTAATAATTACAGTAATCCCGTTCATTAAAAAAGAAGAAAGGAAGCTCAAAATGTTATACGTACAGACTGATTCGCCTATTAGCAACTATATGTCAGCAGACAATAGTCAGCTACCCACCTGAAAGCATGCACAAACTGGAAATTAGAATTTGGTTTGGTTTAATTGGATTAAGGGAAAGCACACGAAGATTAACTGTCTAAGAGGAGGGATGACTTCATGGAAGACGTTCTAAAGAAAACCGCCTGGTTTATACCTTACACATGTGGAAACGCCTATTCAACCGGTCTATTCGCTGAGATTGAACCCTAGTAGAAGTACGACTGTTTAAGCGACTTTATCGCTCGATGATGGTGAGCATCTACACGAACAACACAAGAAGTTATGCGATTTTTCTGTACTTATGGTAAGAAAGTAATACAAGTTCATCGAAATATAAAGCGTTAGTATTGGAGATACTCCTCTCTTGCTTCAACAAAGGCAGATTACGACGATTTTGCTAATCACAATTATCAAGGACCTTCTTTCCAACGGGCCTCTAATAATCAATCATTAAAAAAAAACAGTTAACGGCTAAAAGCACCATTATACATTTCTCCTGCGTATATTAACAATAAACCCGGAATCGTAATATTGTAGCGCATCAGTATTACAATACTACTGAATGGTAATACCATTCAGTAGTATTGTAATACTGAAGTTTGCATATTTTTAAAATCTTCACAGCAAAGAAAAATAAAAAAGGAAATTTGATTACATTATGGCATTAAATTTTCCTCAAAATAAATTTTCAACCAGCGAGATTTTTTTAAAAAAAATCATTCATGAATTAATAATGTTCAAAGACGATAAAACATTATTAATTTTCATATGTCAATTTGCTATAAAATTATTCTATAGAGTTTTAATGTAGCCACTGATTTATGACGCATATTTAAATATACTGATTTATGACGCATATTTAAATATACTGATTTATGACGCATATTTAAATATAAAATTTGTTATGAAAATCAAGTAAGAGGTGCAGAGCTATATTAAAAATTCAAACATTTTCCCAGTTTCTTCATTCATAAATCGAAAAAGGATGATTTTTGGTTTTTTGAAAAATTAAAAATATTATAATATGGTTATATGATAAATACAAAGCAATATTTAACTGTTGCGAAATATTTAAAAGGAAAGACAAGCTAAATGTTTTACCATGAGATATCTTCTGCAGTGATGTCATGAGATGCATTAGCAATCGATTCAGCTAAATCTTTAGCATTGAAATCAATATTCAGATCTTCAACAACAGACATTGCTAGCCATCTGTAGGGAATATTTAAAATATTTTCAATTTCAGAAAATATGTATATCATTTCATTTATAGCCATAAAAAGAACATGTAATTTAAGTAATACAACTTACAAAAAAGGTGGTAAAATATTTTTAAACGAAAATGTAGCAAGCAACTTAATTAGGTTAATATGAGATTTCATAACTGTAATCATTTACATGAGTTTTATAACTGCAGTCAGTTTACACCATTCTCATCTATATGTTACTCTGCTAATTAAGATTAACGTTGATTCCATCTTTAAGAAGGAAGAGAAATTAAACTGACATTTATGCTAAGGTTTTAGAAAATAAAATTTTAGAATGATTGGGTTCTTTTATCCAGCAGGAAACGGGAGAAATCAGCAATGCCTTCCCCGGGATTCTAGCTCTGGTCCTTTCGACTGCTAGACTACGCACTTTTAATTATACGACGAAGGCGCACATTAAGGAAGGAGAAAATTCCTTACTTTCTGCCACACTTTTAAAGGACGTCTCGGAGCGAAGCCACTTACCAAATTCAACTGGTGACGAATTAAGGTTTACCACATTTTAGATCGGACGCCACATGTAGAGACTTTTTAGGATTTTTGGACAAGAAAGTGGAAACAATCAATAAGGCTCTTGCCGGATTCGAACTCTACACCGTCCGACTGTTATCTGGACTTGTTTCATTTGCGTTCCATTGCACCACAAAGGCACACAGAAAAGAGGGAGAAAAATTTGGTTTATTTTGAGCAAGAAAGGGGTAACAGTTAGCGATGCCCTCGCCAGGCTTTGAAATCTGGACCTTTCGATTACTACCCGGGCGTGGTTCCAATTACACCCTAAAGGCACGCGATGAGGAAGGAAAAAACTTCTGTACAAAATTAGTTTATATATGCATATATGATTTCAAATATTATTCAAAATGATATGATTTCAAATATAATCATTTCAAAAATGATTTCAAAGATGATGCATATATGATTTCAAATATTAAAGTTTAGTGATATTAATTAAAGCCCAGGATAACTTTTAAATAATAATTTAAATTAACTTATACAAATAGCTTGTGCAGAAGAAAACAGTATAAAAGGGGGAACCAACTGAAAGTAGACAAGTTCTTTTGCCCGGAATCTATCATGTGACTTTCGAATTGCTGGTTTTCAATCAATTACTTTTATGGGCTATTATTTTCTAGAATGCACAGAAGGAACATTTCCATTCTTTACAAAGTTTAGAAACAAAACAGATTTTACCCAAAAATAAAACCTTAAAATAACTTTTTCCTGACATCCGAAATTAAAGATTGTTTTTTAAGGTTGCTTTAGTATGAATGAAATTTAAAACGAAATAACTGTTTCTTCTTTTTAAAAATTAATATGTGCAGGAATACTTTTGTCATAGTTATATTTTATAGTAATTTACCTGAACTTCAAAGAGAAATAATTGCTTTTACTTTTTAAGAATTAATTAATAAATTATTTATAGTAAGTGGTGTGCACAGCATCTCTTCAAATACTGTACAACAAATGGCTCCACACATTGCAAAGTAACTTCATGTTACATATCCCATCCTCCTGAATAGGGCACACCATAGAACGTGTATCATTGGAATAATGAATATGGTAGGTAAGCATAGATGTAGATTTAGGCCACTCCTAATGAAGCATCCTCTGTTTGACATCAAATTATAATGTATCCAATAATATTTAACCTATCTCTTTCTTATGCTTTTTTATGCATATAATATTCATGAGTTGCCAGCTTAAATTTTACAGGATCATACATCTCAGGCAAGTAAAAAAGCAGAAAACTTCTCCCAAGTATTATATCCGTTTAAATATTAGGCCCGCCGCTTAGATGTAACTTATCTTCTTGCATAAAATCTGTATAAACACTATTGCTAAAGAATTAATAAACCTGAAAAGCCGTTGCTGACAAGGAAAGTTGCAATCGTAGGAGAACCCGTAAAGCCCAAAGAGTTCTATCACTTAGGCATACAAATAGTTTGATGATATTAAAGAGATAGATAGACATGCATAGAAAAAGATAGCTATCCTCTAATATTTTTCCGTTGCGAGACTACAAACGCATCGGTAACTATCCCATGACTCCTTTGTTTGCCAAACTGTATAAGGTAATAAATTACATTTTGATTTTATAAATAACAGTAGTATTTTCTTTCAAGGCATATTTGGTTTAAAAGACGTCCATTGCGATAAAAACACGCCTAGCTTTCATGAGAATCTTATTTTTTATACACATCTACGCCTCGTTTCATACAATTGGCTAGTTGTAGCGGTGTTGTTAATTGAATAAGCATCAAGCATACTCACTATATAAATGAAAGGAGAATGCATTCCACACATTTAAAACTATATTTTTGTATTAAATTACACTATGTTAAAATCAGATTTTCATTTTGAAAATTAATATAAATTGTTTATAAAATGTATTTTTATATTAAATTAGAATAAAATAATGAAATAATGTATAATAGTTTAAGGATTACTCCATTTAATAATAATAATTTAAGTAATAATCATTAAAGTATAATAATTACTCAATTTATCAATAATAATTTAAATATAATAATTTAAAGATGGTAATTTTAAGGATACTTATGCATGGTGCTCATACGGTGTTAAGTTTTAAATTTATGGTCAAGACGCTGTCGATTATCCTGGAGGTATTAAAAGATAAATGGCATGTGGAAACCTGGCTGCTTTGCATAACATTAAATTAATAGTACTTCCCTAATCTTGTAAGGATTTTAAATTTTACTAAAGTTTATTTTATTTTAAAACTTTGCTATCCTCTCTTATTTTCCATTTCCGGCCAGAATAAGCACGAGTAGAATTACTTATGCTAATGAGGTTGCAAACCGTATAAACCGTATAGGTATTTAGGATGTGGCTTTTAGCCAAGAGAAGAAAGAGACTTCTTGCTGCCTTACCACGCGCGTGCTTTTCAGTCAGTTTATGTCTGTCTTTAAGGCTAGAACTTAGTTCTCTCTGATATTTGAAGACTATGTTCGATTGTAGTCTTTGCATTTCACTCACTACATATACGTAGTGTCAAAAGGCCAATCTTCGCGTTACTAGTCTTTGTAAAACATTAAAGTTTAGTTCTTATTTAATTTAGTTTATGTCTTATTTTCTACGTTTTAGAGTATAAATGTTGGTTTCTGTATCATGAAGTGCGGGAACGACTGTACGCTGTGGGAAATAAAGGGTAAATTTAACTTTTCTTATTTTTGTTTTATCTTCTACACACGCACGAACATAGTTTTGAGTAAGTTGCCTGTTCCTACTCAGGACTCTAGCTATGTTTCCAAAGGCAATTAGATGGAACAGCAGTCCTGACAACCTTTCTTTCTTTTCATTAAGCATTTTTTATGATAAGAAGCAGATTTTCATTTAAATTGCTTCTAAGAAAGTTATTTTTTCTTATCAGTCTCAATGTATCTATATATTTCAGTTTTATGCAAAAAGGTTTTTAAGATAATCAATTTTCTTTTAAAATGAAACTGAATTCTCTGAATTTAATTCAAATCAATGCTCTGGAAAAGTCCCACAGGTTGCAGTTCATCAAAATTTGAAGAAACTCTATCCGCCCAACAGTTCTTGGGAAAGAACAACATGATGTTTGTATCTCGCTGATGTTAATGATCAAAACTTCTTGTTCATTCGCGTAATAGTCGCACTTTGTTTGCCAGTTTTTCATTGTGAAAGTGTAGGGGCGACTATTATGCCGAGAAATCTACTACACAATATTGGGCACTTTTTGAGAATGTTTTCTGCTTCAAGACGGGGGTGCGACTATCACGCGAGTAAATACGGGATATGAAAATAACCTGCTTGCCTTGAATAATAAATATTCCGTGTCAAGTCTTCGGGAATTTTTTCCTATTTCTAACAGAAGACAAAATGATCTGGAAAATTAATCGATGTTGGTGCAGAAAGCTTTAAAAATGTATTAAAATACGTTCGTGTAAAGTATATAATGATTTAAAATACTTCCGATAATTTTTGGCACCTCCTCGTATAATTTCTCATACCTACGAATTTCTCATACGAAGATCCATTACGCCACAGGGCGTAATGGATCTTCGTAAACTGAAATGTAAACTGAATGTTAAACTGAAATGTTAATGTAATAAAAAGTGTTTTAAATATCGATTGTATAATTCTTAAATAAGTACTGCCTCGCAAATTAAAAACGTTACCTACACGAAAGAAAACCTGACATGTGTGAGTTCCAGTTCCTCTTCTTTTTCACTCTCTTGCTTCTGAAGTTTTCTGTAACATAAAAGTTAAGGTTTTACTTACATCTCCTGAAAGTAAATTCATAGAGAAAACGGAAATAAACTGCTTTTTTATTATTATCATTTAAATAGTTGATAAATAAACGTATCAAGCACTATGTAAATATTAAATTATAAAATGTTAAAGTTCAAGTTACAGAATTTCGTAGACCATTATACAATGTTAATAATCGGTTGGTAATCAACATTGATATATTTTTTATTTTTTAATAGATTAACTGGTAAGAATATCCAGTTTTTTGGTTTTTATAACATTAATTCAAAAATAATATATTATTTTTTGTATATATAATATACAAATGTAATATACAATATATAAATTGTTGAATAAGACTCTAATTTTCATATTGGAGAGAATTATAATTGAATGTAATATTTTAAAAGAAAATGTGACAATAAATAATTATACATTTTTCTAGTCACATTTTCGGGAATAGATTAACTGAAATCAGTTAAATTATTACTGGATATAATGAAATGTTTGAAGAATAATCGTTGTTTCTCCTATTTAAAAAAAAAAAAAAAAAAAAAAAAGAAAGAAGGAAAAAAAAAGAAAAAAACATGAATTTATTTTTCATTTTCTAGTGACTTTTATTAATATAAAAGTTTGTCTTCGAATAAATATCCTCAGTCAAAAAGATTGGGGAACAGTAAGGATGAATAGATTTAAACATAATATAGTACATATAACTTACTGGAGTAAGCCATTGAAAGAAATACGCCATTTTCTCAAAGGTGTTAGGCATCTTATTTGCAAGCCAGATGAATGAAATAAATATTCATTATCTATGTAAGGTTTTCTAGTATCACAGTTGTAAGATAGTTTGTACAGTTCTCCATTGGAAAGTCTAAGAAAAACCCAAACTGTAGCCATATTCTCTTGTATTTTGTTGATGCAGACATCGATTATATTTCCTTCAGAATCAGTTCCAATAAAGTGCACTCCATCACAATGCTAAGAATAATAAAATGTAGAGAACTAAATTAAATAGTTTGATAAAAATGTCTAACATAATTTTGTAACTTTTTTAACAGTTCTACGCGTTTGTAATTCGTCTAAAAAAGTGCACGCTGTTTTTAGAAGCTTAGATTCATCTCTAATATGCAAAATTATCTTATCTTTGCAAATAATAAGTTTAAGCAAAAACTTAGTTTGAAAGACCAAAGGTTTTTTTTTTTTTTTAATTATTTAAATATTTTTAAACTTAAGTAGAGAAAAAGAGTTTATTATGCAATAAATAATATCAAAATTCTTTCTTCGCTATATAAATATGCCTATCAGTTGTGTTGCTGGTAATTTTTTCGAAGTGAGGTCTGCCAACGAAGTTTTGTCTTGGAATATGAATATCTTCAATGTATGTACAAGTAACTTGCCTTACGTCATCAAAAATGATACATTTTACCTTTAATGTTGAAAAAAAAAAGTACGATCAAAATCTGATTAAATTGATGATCGGTTTTGTCTCCTTTTTACTTTATTTTCATTTATTATATTTTTCCCGATTTTCACGTTTATTAATTATTTGTTTCAGATACATTCGTTACAAATTGTTATCTTTAAGTTATGTTAAGTTTTCTTTAAATCTTTATTTATTTTCAGAAAATACAGCAGGTATTTACACATTTTTAGAAAGATTTCGACAAAGAATAAAAAAAAAAAAAAAAAAAAAGGCAAAAGTTTTGGAATAAAAATTTTTGTCAACAGCTTATTATTTGAAATAAATATCATAAGCCACTTTTAAATTTATTCTTCTTTCAAAACATATGGATTTTACGCTAAAAGAAATAGTATCGATTTAATTGGCGAAATCTCAAGTTTTAAAAATAAAAGGTAAATTTCTATAAAACTTTCTATATAGAGATTTAAGCAGCTCTGTACAGAAAATATAAATTCTGGTTATCTAGTAAAAATAGCATAAACATGATTTCATATTTTTAAAAGACATATTTTTGTAACAGTTACAGTATACTTATTTTCTGAAAGCATAATTTCTTCTAGCTGTGAACAAACAATAAGTTACATTATGTAACAAAATAATAATTATGGGTTTATTTTAATGTCGTTTATGCACATAAAACCTAACAATAGAGTTTACCTCAAACTGATAGTTATTATATATATATAAAATATTGATCATGATCTTGAAACTTACTTTCATTTTCTTCTGGCAAGGATTTTCAATTTCATATTCAAAAGCAGAGGGAATAAAGCCAATTTCAACAGGCGATAATTTATTTCTTTTTAAATTTTTGTATTCTGACAATCTTCTTTGTAATTTTGCTTTGGAGAAATGTATAGAAATCAAAGAAATCCAATATCTTTTCCAGTACAAATACCCTAAAACATTATTTCAGATAAATTTCTATTTTTGAATAAATATATTGAAAATACAGGACGTCACAAATATAAAGTAATTATACAGACATTAGCAAATGATGTGTGCACTAATATATTCTTTGTAATATTTAATTTCAAATATTTATATAAAAAAATTTTTAATTTTAAAATACTATATAATCATATAAGGAATTTTATTGTAACATATTACATATCTTCAAGTGATTTTACTTAAATTTATGCTGAAAATTAACAGAAATACCTTCTCTAATTTAATGCAATTTAATATTACTACCGTTTGGTATCCTTATTTTCGCCATCCGAATTTAATGTATTCCGCTATACAAAGACCACTTATGTTTCAGTGTTTGGAAATCGAGATTTGTAAGTTTCAACATTTTTTTTTTTTTTTTTTTTTTTTTTTTTTTTTTTTTTTTTTTTTTTATTTGTTCTTTCTTCAGTGAACCGGGAAATGCGAAACAAATAGCAACGTGATAGCCTATGATGGCCTTTTTTTCAGATATGGTGTAAAATGTAAACAAAGAATGCGATTTATCAAATGAATACAAAAGAGAATGGGTATATGAGAAGAGTGTTTAAACAGATATCATTAGAAAAGAATATGAGCTTCATAATCCTTATGAAACTACTGGGCCTCATTTCATGGCATCAACTATTAAATTGATTGTAAAATATAGTTTGCTCTAGCTTCCATAGGGCTGAGACTAAAGAATTTCAAATGTGCACATAAGACTAAAATCTGAGAATTTTGTCACTCATATGAATTTTTTTACAAGGTTATAAATCTTGCATATCTATAACATTGCAAGTTTGATCAGATATGCTCAGCGATAAAAATGTATAGATTCTAACAGACTATACTCATAAGACCTCATTTCAAAACTTTTTAATTATCTTGGATGTTAACTTTTAGAAATGTGGAATTCCATGTAAAGTGTTAAGGGCCATTCACAGGGGGGCTTCTCTGATAACGGAGCTGGTTTTATGCGCTCACAAGTTTCGCTCTACGTGAAATTCGTATTTTTAAACGTAGCTCTCGATTACGGCCTTGGGGAAAGGAACCTGAAAAGCACGGAATAGTCTACAAAGTTATATAACTTGCAACAATTATAAATGCGTAATTTTTTGTTTCTGAATAGCTGTGCGAATCTGAAAAGTTTTAGATGTTAAGTATTTAAAGTAGCACCTTAAAATTTGAAGCAAATTTTCATGCTTCCTTCGAGTAATAAATTCGGTAATAAAGGGTTATTTTGAAATGTAAGTTTTATTTGATCTCCGAGTCTGTCTAATATTTTTCTCAAGAAAAAGAAAGAACAGTATGGGAAACTCTTCTATACTGTTTTGTTGGTTTTAATAAGCATAATTGAACGTTTTATTTGAGCAGACGAAAGTAAATTTTAATTTCTGACTTTTACGGAAATAATTGCCACAAATATGATTTGTCATAATCTGCCCTTTACAGAGACTTCAAAGGTTTTGCAACAGAAAATTATATGGCAGAGCCAGTCGTTGAAATGTAAAGTTTTTGCATTGGATTGGATTATTTTTTATGGCAAAGCACACGAGGGCTATCTGCCTAAAGGCAGGGATGCCTTCGTGGAGGACTTTCTAAGGAAAACTGGCTCATATACACGTTACGCATGGGGAAAACCACGAAAACGCCCATGCAGCCAGGCCGCTCACGGGGTTCGAACCTCGAACCGAACTACCAGTGTTCAGCGTCTTTACCGCTCGGCCGCTGGTGGTAAAGTTTTTAACAACCGTGTTGGTGATTAAATTAAATGTTTTTATTATTGCGGTAAACCACACTAGGGTTATCTGTCTATGGGGAGGGATACCTTCGTAGTGGACTTTCTAAGGGAAACTGGCTCGTATACACGTTGCACATAAGGAAAACGCCCATGCAGCCAGCTCGTTCGCGGCATTCGAGCTTCGGACCGAATTATCAGTGTTCAGTGACGCTCGGCCACTGGTGGGCCTTAACCGTGTTCGTTCGAGGTTAATTAAGTTTAATAAATGAAAGATTTCAGGTCATCAGTAGGCAAAATATTGTTATAAACTACATTTACTCGATTTGCCGAACTGTTTATTGCATTGTTTTTGCTTCTCATATAATGTATTGCTATGTTGTACCTGCAAAGGTGATACATATTAGGTATACGTGGCATTTAGAAATCTCAATTACATGCGTTATACCCAAATTTTAATTGCTTCAACTGCATGCAAAATTACAAAAATATGTGAACCATTTTCCTAATAATTAATTTCTTGCATATTTGCTTCAGTTTTACTAACCTGCATTTTTAAATTTTTTTCATATAAAAATTATCCTTTAATTAGACTTTTTTGCAATACGGAAAAAATTACTGCTCTTTAATCGATGAGAATTGTTCCAAACATATATTTTGCTTAGGAATTGCTTAGAAAAAAAATTATTTATCTACTTCACTACGTAAAAAATTAAAACATCTCCAATTCTGCTAAATTTAAGAGATTAACAAACGCTTTTAAATGACAGGAATGTGAACATATCTTAGTTCTATAAACTTATTTCCTTTTCGAAGGATGGAAAGGAATGAATTTTTCAAATTAATGTAGCATTTCATACAAAAGTTAACTGAAATCATTTATATGCATTGTGTATCTCAAAGCAATTTGAAAAACTCCTAGCTACTCTGATTATGACATTTAAATCTCTTAATATACTTTAGTTATAACAAGATCTGTGCTATTTTAAAGTTGCTTTCATAGTTTTCTTTTAGTTTATTTTAAGCTTATTAGCATATTTCACTAAAATGTTTACGCCTCAGTAACTACTGATTTATTTAGATACATCGAACGTTAGACGATGCTAAATTTGTTTGCTAATGAAGAAAGATTGATAAATTAAAAAATTCTTACTCGAATTTGCTCATAAAATATAAAAATTACATGATTAAAAATTTCTTTTGTTATTTTACTGCTGTTACAAAGAACTGCTCAGAGTTTTTTTTTAATCAAGACAAAATTTGTATTATAAATATTAACTATTCCGATTGCTTGAAACTGGTTTCATGGCATGGCATATCTTAATCCTTTTATTATACAAACGAACGGATTCAATACTTTGAATCAATTGACACGTGCAGCATATAATGGTTTCAACGTTTATTGTGTGTCCTTGTTCTCCGAGAACTATGTTTTATGTGTTGTAGTATTTGAGAATACAGAGAAAGATAGAGTTGTAAGCAAAAGAATAACAACAATAAGAAGAGTAGCGTAAAAGTTTTTTGTTATTCTCACATCAAATAAATATGGAGCCTAACATCCTAAACATGGATGATAATAATTTTTCAGCTACTGCAATGATCCTGGGAAAAAATATGAAGGGACAAAATTTATTCGTTAGTTTTCAAAAAATTGTGTGTTTGAAGAAAATATTACAAGTCGAAAGAAAGGTAGGCCATCAAACTTAATTTATTAATATTGTTACGAATTTGGTATTTAAAAAGCTAATGTTAGTTCAATTATAAATTAAATGGTTTTATTTCTCGCGCAGTGCAGCGCGTGACGAATATTAAAAGAAAGCTAAGCCGGAAAAATTAAAAATACAAGAGCGCGTGCGTTAAATAAATAAATATCTCTTTTTGATTTCGAGAAAGTACTGGAAAATTCTAGCGCGTGATTTTAAAATCTTATAAAAGGAGGAAAACATCTCAGTTTGTAGTAGTTGCTTAGTTTGTTTGTTGTTTAGAAAACTGCCGTTGTTGATTATAGCGAATTCGCGGATTAGCGTTCTTTAGCTGTTTTGAATTACGTTCTATTGTACATTTAAGTAGTTAAAAGATAACTACTGTGAGATATTGTGATACTGCATGATAATTTGAGAAAATTTAAGCATTTCTGTTGTGATAATAATAAATTTTTGTTCATTTTTCATCGGACTTGTGCATTCATTTCATAACGAACCCGTACGCACGCAACAATATTTATTACTCATTTATTATTTCTTTAAAGCTGTAAGCTTATAACCCATAAGATCTTGAAATTCGGGAATTAGAAATTCGACAATCAGCTTAATGTTTTTAAATTTTCGTGTAACTTGTATATAGAAATTTTGGGAGCAGGTTTATATACAGTAGTGTTACTACAACATTTAAAATAAATATTTTAATATATGTCCTAAACATTAATTTTATTAAAAGATATTTTAAATTTTTTTTAAAAAATTAGAGAATTGATTTCACTGCAAGCTGATTTGAAATAAAATTATACTTCCCGTACACTACTGAATCATAATATTTTGCATAAACTGCTTATGATATGAAAATATATAAATTGTATCTAATTAGATCGCTAGAAGACTATAATTTAGTGCAGACGTTTTCCTAATACTTCACATTATTGCAAATGATTTTTTAGTCGTAAAATCATATGGGTGTAAAAATATATGGCATGTTCATGGTGTCCCATGTAACAAATGCCATAGATTTAAGGCAAGAATTAGCAATGAGCTGTAATTTTTATGCTAATGTTAAATATTTCATTGGATTATTTGAATATTAAATAAGGATTTATTGAAGTATTTATACGATGTTACTTTCCATCAAATCGTATGGCTTTATGAAATCTACTGTCTTGCACTTCATCATTATCATTTAAATTTTTCTTGGCATCATTATTTATTGCAAACTTTCATCATGTTTCATAAAGAAATCAATAGAAAAGTTAATCATTTATTTGCCATTTATGGGCAGAGACGACAAGATAAGACTATGGAACGTTATTAAAATTACGTTTACTTTCTAATTTATTTTTTCAGGAGAACCTTTAAAAAAAATAAAAAAATAAAAAAAAAATACTAACTTCTTTGTCTGATTTCTAAATAAGCTGGGGGAGGGAGGATAAAAACAGTAATTCTTCTTTTAAAATTTCTTTACAAGAAAAACTGCTACATTTGCAACTATATATATAAAGATTCCTTCACGATTATTTTTTTT